ATATTTGATAATGAAAACTGTGAATCTTGCAGCGTTACAATTTTCACATATCAAAAACCAATTGCCGATTGGCAACAAGTTGTTTTTTATTAGTTGGTTTTGACAATTATTACGTGTACCTCAACACAGCTTGTATTTTCTGAATATGTTACCATGGTAACACACAATCGATTAAAGTACATCTGATAACACCTATCTGTGGTTGAAAATTATTGGTGTAGAATCTGCATATTTATGTATAAATACATGTAAAAAATTCAAGGGGAATTCAAAAATGGTCCGACACGTCAATCTAGCTGTGTCTTTTTTGTTTTATATTACATGTACATAATTGTACTGTTCATGAAAATCTTGCTTCGCTTACAAGTCCTACACTTCGATCTGTTTTACATGTGCCGTCACACCTGTTAGAGTTTGTTTCCTAAGATATTCAACCTTAAACGGTCACAACAGAATGTAAGACCACACTCTAGATCTCAGTATATGCTTCTATAAACTCTTTTCAAAACTTTGTATGCAATTTTCAGCAATCTAAAAAATAAGGAAGAACCCACAAGTATATTTTTCACCCACTTATGATATGACTTTTCAAGCGATAAAGTGGCTCGAGTTTGTTGATTTGAAAGTTCGTTTTGGTATGTATTTTTGTACACACTAACTGTCGAGATGGCATTTAGTGGGGTATTGATATAATCCCATGAAACGTCAAATAATACCCCCATACATCAGGAAGCTCTCAAAATACACACTGTGTCTCAAGTAGTCCTCACATGTAAACTAATACGGAAACCCGACTCTACATAATATAGCAATGTTACGCGTTAACTAGAATGTTCACGGAAGCTTGTTGTAATATCGCCCCGACACGGGTGGTTACCGGTGGCTACCGAGGACAGGGGACTATCGATACGGAATGTGATGTCACTTACGGGAGAAAGGCCCTGATTTAATGAACTCGGTCCCGGATATTAATGACATCGAGTCATGCATGTTTCGTTGTATTGCTTGCGCATCTGCTCTGTGTATGGTAATGTTTATCATTTAAATGTCATGTGCATGTCGCTTTAAATCAAATTATTTTTCAGATTGGAAACATAGGTCAAGGTACTTCACCTACTATTTTTGCAGATTTAAACCCCAAATTAGTATTATCCCCAGCTGTCACGACCTGTTACCTCGCATAAACAACAAATCAAAAATATTTGAAGAAAAAAATGAAACTAGAAACCGACAGATGGATGGACAGACGAACTAACAGATACACAGACAAAGACAAAACTGACATATACATATACACGCAGACAAAGAACAGATGGACAGATAGAGGAAAATAGAGAGAGAGATAAACAGCCAGGTAGACAAATACGAAAAGTTCAAAAGTTATGCTTTTAAAAGTCCCATACCTTTGGAGTTTGTTGCAGTTTGCATTACCTCTGTCATTCCACAACTGACTACGCCATAATTGTTCTTCATAGATTAAAACGGATTTTTGATTTTCACACATGACGTTTGTTGATAGATCCTGACCACATGGATCCCTCCATGGCCACTTGGGAGTGCTGTCTCACTGTAATGTGATGACCTCGACATGGTATATTTTGTATTAAAACATTCCACTCGACATATATGTTAATTACAATGAGCACAGAATAGGTACTTTTGGTGACTCCATCATACAGAAAACGAAAGCATATGAGAGAAAAAGATAAAGATCCTAGTGTTAAAATGGTCGAAGCACACCAGTTTCGGGTTTTTCAACGTCCCCTACACAGAAGAAGACACAAACTCCCCGTATCTCCAGTCGCCTCATACGACCTTTCCGTGGCATACAGCAGGTCAGTTCTTCCTCTGGACGTTCACAGGTATAGCCGTGACATGCTTGGTAGAAGATAGCTTCTGATTGACCGTTTGATCATGATCAACTTCACAGTTAACGGCTCACGTGTAAAAATTAGGATTCCTCAAAATTGCAGGCGTTATTCTCGCTGACGGTCTCTGCAGAAAACGTAGGTGGGCGTAACCGTGGAATTTCGAGGATGCTCTGGCAGCAAACAATGTCCCTATCCTACACAGGACCCCATGCAACCCTGACCACCCCTCCTCGATAAAACATATATGGAACTATATGTAGTTGGAGAGATTAATAATACTCCTTTCAACGTCACTCCGTTGGCATTGGCGCTGGAAGAGGAATGAATGGAACTGTATACACACGAGAGGGGCCATTGTTTCTATAAACAAACGTCCATTTGACCTCTGTATACAGCAGCCGAACTGTCGAAACATACAAATGTAGCATTACATTACATAGCAAGACAAAGAGTGTATTGTGCTAAGAAATAGAACACACCATGCAAATACAATTATGTATGTGTACATTGCATGAAATGATATTTCAATAATATGGAATAGATAAAGACATTCTTCTTATAAGGGAATGTTGGTCGCATTGCAAAAAAAAACCGGAAAAAACATGGGACGACGTTAAAGCTTTAAATAAAATACATCCTTGTGAAGTAATGCAGAACAACCCCGACCATAGTGATGTTAGGTGATGCATGCAAAGGAGAACACAGTCCAAAGGCACAAGGGGACTTAACAAAATGTATCAACTAATATGAAGTACATTCTTATGCAATAATGCAAAAAAAGCATTAGGGCTCACGCAACAATATAAATATATAAATTGCCAAATCAGTTTATCGTTTACAGTAAAGTAACTGGTATTATAACATTCATAATACAATAAGATAAGATAATCCCTGTGTAATTCTATTAGTTTGACAAAGGAATTAAACTATCCAAGTTTGTGTTTTGGCTATTTAATGATAAATGACACTTATCTTCAGCTTCTTCTAATAAACACTTCTTACATAATATTTGATGTTTTGATATACCAGTTTATCTACCACGCTTTACCAGTAGTTTGTGTGGGATGTATTCGGCTGTGACCATGTGAATGACCAGTCCCTAGACATATCGCTTTGAGTAGCATATGTCGTTAGTGGTCAATTGTTCGTCACGTCCTGTGTCACGGATAACGTTTAATTTAGTTAATTAAATACTTAGGGTAATGGGACCTTACCTGTTACTGGATCTTAGCGTGAACGAACTGTCTCCTGAAATTACAATTGTATCCGATGTTGACGCGTAAGTAGGTTTATTTCACGACAGAAGAAACCATACAATGTCCAACACATTTAAATTACTAGAATGCAAGAGAAAGATGTAAAAATATGTCAGTTGTTCCCGTTAACTGATCAGGTCTAGCTTAAACATTTATATTGCCCGATCTGGTTTGGTTCCAAGGAGTAGACACAGGTTATACAATCGTATCAACTTATCAACACATCCTGCTTAAATACAAATACATGAAATAACAATTATGTAAATCACATTAATGAAATTGCCAGACAGGAAAATGATAAATATTTATTTCTATATTGTTAAACCTTTCAACACCTTTCACTGGACACCATTCAGTTTTGTACATGTTTGAAGATTCCTCCGCTTGATTCAACTGACAGGTTTTCAATTTCATTGAGTAAAAGGACTAAGTTTAAGGGAAGAAAAGATTATTTCTCAAATCTACAGAATAGTGACACTCTAGGAAGCAGTGATTCTTTTTCTTCACATTGATATATACAGCTACTTGCCGGGCTGGCAGGTAGACTGGCGTCTGACATTCTGCAACCACTAGCCCTCCAACGCTGGTTCGCGGGTTCGAGACCTACGTGGGGCAGTCGTCAGGTACTGGCTGTAGGTCGGTTTTTTCTCCAGGAACTCCGGCTTTCCTCTTCACCAACACTTAGCACGTCCTTAACATAGCTGTATGTAGGACGTAAAACACAACAAACAAACATGCTCAAAATGAATCGTAATTAAGTGGGCTATGTCAAATTTTAATACCATCATATAAAAGATATCACAGGGGCCAAATTTTTATGCAATATTACAAACTATGGCAATGAATTATAAAGTTGCTAAATCTAGTTCGCTATATAATTTACTAGGGCAACGAAAATCCCACTTATATGGTATACGTCATAGTTAACTGTCCTTAAAAACTGTATGGTAACTTTGGACAAAGATCTGATGCATAATGTTTCAGATTGTGATAACGCATACAAAATAGATTTGTGATATTTGATTTTGAAAGAGGTATTTAAGTGCCATTAATTTTCTTGGTATTTTGATCGTCTCTTTTATCATTGGATCAAAAAGAGCATTGCTTGTTTGTTTGTTTCTTTTTCAGATTTGAAACAAAATCCTGACGTGCAGCAGATGTGAGATAAGATGGTCGTAGTTCGGATTCACAAAGAACGGGGAACGTCCGTGAAATGGCGCTCGTCTTCGTACGATCGGCGACGACATGGATTATTCACACCGACATAAATAAGGGACTTTAAGGTCATTGTCAGGTTTTTCTTTTCAAGGCAGTCTTATTGATATCTACCCAGTCGGCTTAAACTGTACTGGTATGTAGTGAGAGCGCGAGACTCGCTCTGCTTTTTTTTTATTATTTCCTCTCTGTGCGCGCGTGGCACAGATTAGCGGACTATTGAATATAATATGAACTTAACTACATGTTAAATCCCTTTTGAAGATGGACATACAATACTAGTGATTTTTTCAAACAAATGAAAATCAAATGATCAAAATATGAGCCGTGATAAAAACTGTAGCTCTACCGCATCTGTTTGGTTCGCCTCCGTCCTTGCGAATAGTGACAAGAGGAGGCGATCTAGTCGAGCCAGGTAAACCAATCAGTGAGCACGCTTGGACGGTTATAGTGGCTAGCTATAGTCGGCTTTCACCACCAATTGATGTATTAAGGGAAATCGCATTAGCCTGTGGGGGCGTGGCTAAATCACCTAATCTTTATCATAAATTCAACGGAGCGTAAAAAAAATTAAACGTGAATCGAATGCGCGCTCGTTCAGAGATTTGATTGGTTGAGAGCGGTCGTCACGGACTCCATACCTGGCCGGTTATAAAAGATGAGGTTGTGTTCTATACAGCCATACGCATCTTATATGTCCCAGCTGGTTTCCGAAGGGTTTAGTATCACCATGAATATTTCATTGCTTTGGAATAATACAGTGCAGTTGAATTTCTAACGTTTTCAATCATCTCTCAATTCACCGGGGATTACTTAGCAGTGCTGTAGATAGTATTGCATAAAGGACTTTGTGCGTGCGGTGGTGCACGCGAGGATTCTGTTATATATATTTAAAGACATCATACCATACATCATGATGATGTCATGTGATGGTCAGCTAGCCCTATCATACACTCAGTTGACCACAGTGACCAGTGATAAACAAATAGACAGTACACGGCATGATGTGCCTCTAACGGTTAATCTTGACAGTATGGATATTGGGCGGGAAGATATCGGGGCCGATGGAAGCGAGTTCGGATCTCCATCAACCTATATTCCAAGTGACAGTGAACTTACGCCCTGTTCCCTAGGGACCACGCCGGATACTCCTATGAGTCCCTTCACTGATATTCACAAACATTTCGTTTTTCCGGGAGAAAGTGGTTTCAATCAAAGCGCGCCTCACCATGGACAACAACAGTGTAAAACATCCAGAAAAATAAACTCTTCCTCTGCTCGAAGACGGAATTCCATGACCCCCGGACGGGAAGTATTACGGAAAAGGCGACTGGCGGCAAATGCCAGGGAAAGGAGGAGGATGGAAAGTTTAAACGTGGCCTTTGACCAATTACGTGATGTCGTTCCTTCAATAGGAGACGATCAGAAACTGTCGAAGTACGAAACTCTTCAAATGGCACAGAGTTACATAAATGCACTGAAAGATTTGCTTATCTGAGATTTTACCTGAGATTTTTAAAAGTGCACAATACTTTAAACATGAACATTCTATATTTTTGTATTGTCATTGTGCATCACACCTGTGTTCTATTGCGAGTGGCGTATCGCGTTAGATAGCCGGCCTTGAGGTGTACTGTTACGCCGTACTATTGTAGCAGACATTCCGGGTTTAGTGAACTCCAGGGTAACGATTCACAGCTCACACACCGCACATCAGAAGGGAGCTAACTCCACGTAGACCATTAAATTCCGACGATGAAAATGCGGCATTTTGGATGGTGTCTGTTCATTACATAATAACTTGTTAACAGTCTTCCTTGTCACTTAATTCTTTGCCAATAAACACTGAAATGGAGAAAACTGTCTCGGCCGTGGTTTGTAAGCCGATGGCCGGGTACGTTGCCTAACTAATCGGATCCGGTTTGCGTGTGATACCATCAAGTGCTAATTCATTGCGGACCATTATTGCCAGCATTTACTGCTCGTCTGACTATTTGTGACTTTATAATGCGTGGACACGTGTTGAAGAAACTTCTGTTAGCATTCCAATTTATTCATTGAATGAGAATGTACTATTGTAATTTGTACGCCATTGTTATTTTCAAAGGTAGCTGGTATCTTATTGAAGATAGTACATGTATATTTTTTCTACAACTTTATGAATGCAATTTTTTTCAATGTTGATAGCTTTTAAAGATGACTTTATTTTGTAAATAAAAAATGTTGAATTTAATTATGTGTTTGATGTTATTCTGATTAGGATGAGGTAGAATTATCATGTATTTTCATGAGGCCACACCAAACTCATGACTTAAATATTATTTGTATTTAGACGCTCCAAATACTCTTACACTTCTTCAAAATGTTTCAACAAGTCAAATTCTTATGATATCAGTTTTTGTTTTTGGGTTGACACAAAAAGAATAACAATTCTGGTCCTATTGTACGCTAGCTCCATATTACTGAAGAATATTCCTGAGAGGTTTGGTACGGCATCTGCTCTTTTATTGCTATCGTAATACGTAGAGATTCCAGCTCGAATCAAAAGACAAAATCAGGGGCGTTTCTAGGATATTTGAAAGAGGGGGCGTAGCATAAAATATTTTTTGGACCATTTTTTTGCTAAAAAACATAAAATAATTGTGAAATGCACTAATGTAACGGTTCCTGACTTGGAGTATGTATATTTTATAGTAAAAGTGTCAGTGTTTGACATTTTTTATCAGAGTATGATAAATTGCCGTATTCAATACAATATTAGCACTTCAAATGACTTATTTTTGCGAAATCTGTGTTTGCCAATCGGAAATTCAACTTCTGTTTAGCGAATATTTGCCATTAGACATTACGGAGACAACTATGTCTTACGAACAATCAGTAATTTGCAGTGCTTAAATGTATCCCTATCGGCTGTATTTAAACTCGGCATGTTATTATCAGTTTGTCAAAAGTAAAAATTAACGCGACTGTGAAACGTGGAAACTTGTGCACTGTAACATCAAACTACAGTTGCTGATTTTTACCGTCTTGTTTCTTCTTTTTTTTCCGGAAAAAGACTAGAAATCAAATTCGTTCGTCCTTTCGCCCCAAAGACGGATATCGCGAAAAATCACACGAAAAAAGACGGGGAAAATACTCTCATTTCTGTACACAATTTTCAAGGTACCACGATAGGATATCACATGCAAAAAGGTACCACGATGGGGTATCACATGTAAAAGATACCATTATGGGGTATCACATGTAGAAAGGTACCACGATAGGGTATCACATGTAACAAGGTACCACGATAGGGTATCACATGTAACAAGGTACAACGAAAATAAAAAGAAAGTAATAATATAATAATAATGATAATAATAATAAAAGACTTTGTCTCGGGTCGATAACACTTTGAGTCAAAGACTCTTCTAACAAGTGGTCGACAGCAAAATGTCCAATATTTACAACAAAGACATGTTACCACATGTAAGGGATCGGGTATTGGAAGAGAGTGGTTGTACATAGGCACATGTACCACGAATTAATGAGCAAGTCTTTTTCATGAAATGAAGGACATACTCAAGTAACACGATCAGGAACCACACACAATGGCCAGACACACTGGTATAATGGTTCATTCTTACAAACAATCGAAACGAAACGTTAGTTGTCTGTATGTATTTAATCCGTAATGTTAAGAAACTTAGAAATGGGACGATTTTGCTCTATAATAACTTCACGAAATAGCGAGCTAGGTTATTTTAAACAAGTGATATGTGCAACAATGCATATTTATAAAAGTAAGTTTCAGCAAAAAATGAGTTTAAACGTCCACCTCAAAGTGGGTAAAGAGGGCGGAGGCTAGAGGGAGAGAGAGAGAGTCGTTTGGGCAGCGGTGACTCGCATTTGCATACTGTATGCTCGTGCAACATGCCGCATGTCAGACACACTACTTATGGAATACGTAATGTAATACCTTGTGATGATCGGGAATGTGACCTAGCCTTGAAAATATTTTTTTCCGTGTGTGATAAACGTCCGGGTTGTTCATATGAATTCCTAAAAATATAACAGCGTCACAGCTGTTGCCACACTGCAGGAAGTGGCAAGAAAACCCGGAGGTAAATATGGAGTGCTGTCAAAAATGGGGTCTCTATATGGCGCTACCAATGTAAAGAATGAGCATTTCATATATGTAAAGTTTATCACTGAAATTTAAGGAGCATGGCACTCAAAACAATTTAAAACGGGACACAAAGCATTTTAGTTGTATTTGATGACCTACACTTTATTTCTGAACCAACAACAAATTAAAAAATAAGAATCCATTCTGGACTACTGAAGTATCAAATGTTTCCCCACTTTTATATGGTTCGTTATAGCATCAGAGGTAATACTCTCTCGAGTCACAGTGACAACTAAGGGAAAACTTTAACAAAATCGGCGACAGGTCGTCAACAATCTCATTTTACGACATAGGTATACCCCCATACCTTCACGTAATACCGGAGTGTAGTTAAAACAAAACGTTTGTTTTCTTATTAGTTATTTAACGATTGTAAAATATGACTAGGAAAAGACACTCTTGCACTATTTTATAATTAGGGTTTGCTAAAATTCGTATTTGGATATTGTTGAACACAGACGTTATAGGGCTGTCATTTCGTGACACGGAATCAATACCCTTTTCCTAGCTGTAACGGAGGCAAAAAAATCACTCAACTTGAACGAAATAAATTTTAAAATGCCAATACTGTCAAAATTCACACCTGCATTAATCGATATTTTCTATCACAGATTATTTTTAATTTGACTCAGACTTTTGACGTGTCCATTCATTTTATTTCGTGTTCCCGAATTGGCATTTTTATACCATTACTGGTCATTGAGACTAGAGTTATACTTTTCGGATTTTGACGTGATAATAAAAAAAAAAACTCACTGATGAGATAATTATTGTGGATTGTTTAAACATCCATAGGATGGATCTAAGTGAAACCTTGTGTTCTCGGGATAATTATTATATAGTAATCAAGTTCGTGAATTATTCAAGATTTTGTTGAATATTGAAATATGTTTATTATAACTCATGTTATTAGAAAATGATAAAAGTAGTTCGTTATTAAAGGAGATATTTGATAATAATCTCTAAATGTCCCTGCTAAGTTTTAAGTTTTTTATTTCCGAATGCAAATCAGCATATAGGTTNCAAGTTATATTGTTCAGCAATTCGCTGGATGAAACATTTAATTAAAGCTTACCTGTGCAGATTTTACCTGTAGACCTTATATTGGCGACAGATGTTCCGACATTGGAAGGAAATCGCTCGTGTGGAACGATCCACGTGGTGTATCTACGTTGTATATTTGTACAAGATTGTATCTCGTGCTACTCGCGTGTGACCGACGGTAGGTAATTTTACCTGTAATATACCCGTTGAACAGGTAGAAAACGAGATGAGAGGCTCGTGCCGACTATTACAAATTTCAATAGATTTGATAACTATTCAAAAGTCACTCCTATCCATCTAACGGGTCAGATGCGTTCTTTATCTGTTGATAATTCTCCTCCGATTAAAAACTTAATAGATGTGACGGTTTTAAATATGCCTATTAGACAAAACATAAATTCTTACTATTTTTTCACAGACGCCTACACATCAGGTCTAACCATTTACCTGCCTGACTAGCGCGTGCTGACAAGGTGAATTACGTACACCTGTCAGAGTCGCACCTGATAATTAGATAGGTATGGTAAATAAATAGCATACCTGCCTATACTGTACCTCATTACAAGGTCAAAAATCGAACTTTTATATAGCTAACACACTGAGGCCTGTGTTGATGTTTAACCAAACATGTGTAATAATTATATACAATTATCGTAGCCACGGAGGTTTAGGTACCTAAAATGACCACTTGTCGTAAATTAGAATTTCCTGAAAAAATTCCTTTCAACTTAACGGAAGGCGAACACTAATACGTACACCTTTCTGCACTAGTTGGTCACATTGAGTAAATATTTTCAAAGATTATTATTACTATAGACTGGAGTCCTAATATGGTATTTGTAAATGTATTTTTCTTAGTGGACAGAATTCTTCAAGATAGGACCATATTTTTTACGTTCAAATTAAGTTCTACAAATCATTACAAACAGATCGAAACAAGTGTATTTAAAGGGCTGTTTTCTGATATTGGTTTGTATTGCTAGTGTGATGCAATTATCCATTTTAACTATTTCACACTGATTCATACAGGTTTATCCACTGAGAGTCATTTCAAATTCAATTAACGTATTTTTTTTATCCTAAATAATTAACATCAAATATGTGATGCCCCAACGTAAAATTGAAATGACAGCAAACCAGTTCACCATTTCACAGCATTAGCATACACAATTGTTTTGACTGTGAAAAATGAAAAAAAGGGAGAAAACGAAGTTATTGATCATAATGCGCCTGTCCCAATGCAAACATATTCATATTCCAATCTCGATGTATTGTACTTTTCATTGCTGTTCATCGAGGCAAATGTCATTATAAGTGGCCGTGTTCATGCGTCGTCGGAATACCTGTAATTAGAGGATGCAGTTCAAACAGTCACTAGACTATGATTCATGTCAATATGATTCTTGATTGTGTACTCGTCTCGTCATAACGGTGGGTCGCTTCTTTTGAATAACCGCGGACTATTTTCTGTCTGATTTCTTTTTTTCACCAAGGGACATTTTTTATTGTTGACGTTGGGTTGGTGGGTGGCGATAAAATTCGTCACTGTCACATTACGTTTACTGCTAATTGGACGAACTAATTACATGTAAGTGACTTGCAATTATTTCACTCTCCTAAGACAAAATAAACAATTGACTCCATTGGCTATTACAAACATCTGCATAGTTTGCACCTGTATGGAATTGAAGTCCAAGCAGTCCATGCCTTTTGACGCTTAAACGGTCACAGGAGTCAATTAGAAGAAACAAAGAAATCAAATATAGAGTCACTAAATTAGAAATAAAGCGAAATCTGAACAAGAAAGGAAAAAACGTACCAAAGATAAGAATACCATCTCCATTGAAACCAGTCTCTGATCGAAACCTTAAACAGAGAATAAGATATATAGTTAAATAATGATACGAGAGTATCAAGGTGAACAAACTTTACTATAATTTCAAACAATATTGAATTTGATGATTTATTTCCTACAAAGATGTC